AATCACTCGCTCCTCTTCATTTTAGCATGGGCGGACGAAGTGCGAAACGAGTTGGTGAGACCCCCCCCCCTAGGAGAGGCCGACGGCGTGAAGCACGAAGTCACTCTTGGCGTCAAGCCTTGCACGAAGCCCTGGCTGCATCGGAAAGACAAGCCTTGATGGATCGTCAGCTGGGTTGCTAGCACTGGGAACGCGTTCAAACCAGACATTGCATCTGGATTCGCATTCCCACTCGAAAAGAGTGTTGAGGAGTCTTTGGACGAAAAGGGAATCAGATCTACCATTGATGAGAGTGGCCAGCGAGGCTTCATTATCAAGAAAGAGGATCACATCCGCATCCCGCCACAATCGACCTAGCCGAACAAGACTCATCACTGCAGCATATGTTTCCAGCTCATAAATGAGGGTGCACTTCTCCTCTGGATTGATAATGGTCATCACGTCTTGCGAAAGCTCCTCACCAAACCAGCTCAAGAGCAGACCTTGGGAGTTGTAGGCGAGGGCACCAACACCACCCCCACTCGGCTCGTATGAAGCGTCCGAATAGACATGGAAGCAATTTCGGAATGAGCAATGCACAATCCTCTCGGGGCCAAGTGCAACATGATCTCTCAGAAAGCTTAAGGCCTTCTTCAGCGGGTCGTTCAAGCGAACTTGTCCTCTGCGCTCACAATAGCTCGAGAGAATCCGAAGCTGAAGGCTCGCCATTCGGCCAAAAATCTGATTGTCGCAAAAGAGCAATCGACCACGAAGGGAAGTAAGCACTGAGCCAGAGACCGAAGAGCTCGCAAGAATGTCATTTATGGTAATTTCAAGCTCGCGTCGCCTCGACAGCGTGTTGCTCACTTTGACCAATCCAAAATGGCAGTCTGAAAGATCGATCTGTACTCCAAGCGCGCGGGTGACAAACCCAAACTCACAGTCCTTTTCGGAGGCCGTTTCCCAGCCCAAAAGGGCGTAAAAGGACTCCTGGATTAAGTTGATATGTGGACTCTCCGATTCCCCAGCTATCAAGAAGTAGTCGTCATAGAACTGCGTCCAATGAAGATCGAAGAAAACCAGGGCAAGGTGCCATATGGCCGAAGCCACCCTGTAAAACCCTTGTACAGCAGGTCGGGCCCCGAAGGGCAATACCAAGGCCTGAAAGAATTCATATTGAGATGTTGCAGGGTTAAGCACAGCCAAATAAGAATCGCGGAGCGCTGCAGTGGAAAGTGGGAGATTCTTATATGCCTTGCGAAGATCAATGGCTCGACTGACCAGCCTCTCTCGGAGGCCAAGTTGACGGCCTCGACGAATCCTGTAGGAAATGCCAGCACATATGACATCCACCCCATGGGGGGAGATCGTCTCTGTGGAGCCGCACGTGAGGTTAGCCAACGATTGCGTGTAATCGTCAATAGGCCTGATCTTGGTCACTTTTCCCTTGTCAACATCGGTGCTTGATTGTTTGATTCCGAACCGCCTGGTAACCACGGAGTCACTCGGAATCTCAGAGGATTTAAGGGGGCCTCGAAGCCAGCCCCGGTCCCTTTCCTCCAAGGTAAGCTTGTGCACAGCAGTCAAGATTTCTAAATCTTTGCCATCATCACGCTGATGTAAAATTGCACTGCGAACCTCGGGAGTCAGGCTGCGAACCTCATCGATGGTGAGCAGCGCGTCCATGTGCTTTTCGGGAAGAACTCCTGAGGCAGGGATCTGGCCAAGAAGATCGAATCCTGAGCACATAGTCTTGACCAAATCCTTGTCTGGGTAATTGGCAGCTTCAAGCATCTCTGCGAAAAGCGGCATGGATTTGTTCTTGAGAACAGCACGGCAATGATCAGGCGTAGGAAATGGAGGCTCCAGATCCTTCAATTCACAAGCTCGAAGAAGCCACTTCCTCATGGCCTGAGTGCGATCCTTGGCAATGTCAGCATAGGAGGTCGAGACTATCTTATCAACCACAACCTTAAGGGGGTCAGGTACGCCACACTCGAGGCGCTTGGGGTGCCCTTGTTTGAAGGCCTCCGAACGGAACTCGGTCGGAGACCAAGGGATTCCATAAGTGCGGTCAACCGAAGAAACAGAGGCAGCAGAGAGGTCCTGAGAGCCGCCCCCCGAGGTCGGGACCGAACGAATACACTTCGTGCCTGCTGGAAGCTTGTGATTGCAACCTTCCCACTGGGAGGCAAGCTTGCCTAGCGGAAGGACATCAGGGTCACCCTGCAAGGTAACAAGATTGCGAAACTCAGCAACCAGAGGCTTGAGGCGTTTGCCCTTGGGCTGCTTGCCCACCATGAGAGCAGCAGCTCGAGAAAGGCTGATGTGTTGATCTGGAAGGCACCTCGCGGGAGCCTGTGCACCTAAGTCAAAAAGCTGTTTGAGAAGGCACTCGACAAATGCAGCACAAAACAAAGGCGGGAGCACAAGTTTCGGTTCCAGGCGGGTGCAGTGCGAATGATTCTCAGAGCAGGAAACACCAAGAGACGCGAGCTTACTGTAGCTGTGAAAGACACAAGTGGGCAGCTTCCAACCAGCGCCAAACATGCAGAGGTCGAGTGATGTTTGATGAGCACACAGCTCAGCAAGAGTTGCAAGGAGATGTTGAGGCCACAACTTTAAGTTAGCTGGCCCCGAAATGCTCCAAAGGATGCCCTCCTCACAACAAGCGCGAACAACAGCTTCTGCAGCCTTGATGGTCGAGGTTGCAGCCGCTTCTGAGTTGTGCCAAGCATGAATCGGCGGCGACAAGTGCACAGCAGCAACAGGTTGCTGTTTCAGCATGCCCAACAGGAGCTGAAGGCCTGATGCACTAGACAAGTCAAGGGGGACCACGGGGCACCTGACACTCCCTTGAACTTTAAAATCAACCCCTTTGCCCGCAAGGCCAGCTTTGCGGACTGCAGCACACAGCCCGCCTTCGCGAGCGAAAACCTGGATAAAGACCAACGATTCCAAGCTTTTGCCAGCGACACGCTGGCCGACTTTCTGAAGATGCTGGGTCTCCGGGCTAGACAGGACCTGGAGCTTGGGAGCTGTGCAAGTTGAACACTCTGTAGCTGGGAGGCAGGCACCCACAGACACCAAGATTTGTCTGTCATGGGGCGAGAGCGCATGCAGCTGTGCAACAGTGAACCCCACCATAATCAACCTAGTACCCTTCCATGGCATGGTACAGTGTCTGAGGCGCCAAGCATCAAAGATAACAGGCTTTCTGTGAACTGGCAGGAGTTCACCGGCAACGGCTGCCCCATCAATCTGCATGAGGTGTTTGCCCTCGGGATTTTCGATCCAAATTTGACCTTGGTCAAATGTCGTGATGGGAAGAGCAGCATTAGGAAACTTCCCGTTCTTGCTGTCCTTGTGAACAGCAGTCAAGGCATCCTTGAAAAGAGCGATCGTGCTACACGAAAAATCTGGAAGAGCATGATGAAGAAATTGAAATAAAAGCGTCGTGGCAGCAGGAAAGGCCCTCGTGTTGTACCGAAGGCCTATGATGCCTCCTTTGGAGTAAGCACCTGTGATGAAGCTAGAACCCTGTGCGCCAAAGTCCTCAGTAGGCAGCAGGCCGAAAAGACGCTCCACGTCCGAACGACAAATGACACCTACTTTAGATAGACACTCGCAAGCAAAAGTCTCGGCCTCATGTGACACCAGGCAGGTCACCTCCTTGGGAGGAGATGGCATAACCCTGTCGTCAACCTTTACAGGAGGCAGCGAAGAATGCGCAAAAGCATGTTGAGGATCACCAGTCACCCCTGACGAAGATAACACAGGACTGGAGCGGGATGAAACCCCAGCCCCTCTTAACCCTCACTCAGTGGAGCCTTCGGAAGTGCACTCGAACTGGGGATGAGCTTTCCCGCACTTCATACACAAGTGTAACCCGAAACGGCATGCCTTACCTGGTTTGGCGTGCTTGCAGCCTCGGTCCTTGATGTTGTAAGACCAACACATTCGCTTGCCCTTGCTCGTGGTGCGTAAGGGCATGTCCTTAAGGGCATCGGGGAGTTCAGGAGGTGTCTTCTCCTTGCCCTCGGAATCACGCTTGGTACCCCGATCGCCCTTCTGGTCTTTACCCTTGCCGTTCCCTTTCCAAGGCTTACGAGGGGGCTTGTCGTCGAGCTCCTGCAGCCTGGTTGGCAACAGATAAAAGGATATCGAACCCTCGGTTGGCAGGGTAGGAAAGGCAGCGTCGAGCGGCAGGGCCCCGGCCGAGGTCCTCTTGATGGAAGGAACGATCTCAGCAAGCTTTTGCCACGCCTGACGGTCAGCTCTGAGTACTTGCTCCATCGAGATCCTCCTGAAGTTGGGTGGAGGAGATTCGGCAAGCCTGTCCATTAAAAATTTGTGCCAATTCTCTTGCACCCTAAAAGTGATCACACCCATCAGGTCGCATGCAAGGCTGCGCCGAGTGAAGGCTTGGGAAAGCTGCAACTCATTCTGTATCTGCATGCGATGAAACGAAGACTTATCACGAACCGTGAGCTTTGAGGCATCAAGCACAATTTCTTTGCCCGGTCGCTCATGTGAGATCTCTTGCGCACGTGTTATGAATTTATGTGGTTCCAAATAAAAGGGCGAGTCAGCATCAATCATGCTCACATAAGTGTAACACGAGTGCGCGACCTCCATTGTGCCTGTGAGGTCGTAGCCACACAGGCGGGCCTTTTGTGCAGCAATCCGGCTGGTACGCTCGGCAGGAGCAAGCTCAGAGCGCTTCTCACCATCTGTACCTTCTATGGCGAGCTTCACTTCGGCAATTGCAAGGGTCTGGCTCTCAAAGACAAGACGACGAATGGCAGCAAGAGACCCCACACTAACACCCTCGGGAGCAATCGGATCAAGAAGCCCTCTGAGTGCCGCCTCGGTGGGTGTAACACCCGGTGTGGAAACAGCATAAGCGGCACCTGAAAGTGTAGTGACGCCACGGGCCACTAGGGCATCATGTTCTGCCTCAGTCAGCCCACATTCCAATGCTCGCTCCTTGAAAGCGGCCTGGGACTTAAGAAGGCTTGCCATACCTGCGAGCACTAACCGTTGCGGAGGGCAATCAAGAGACCTTGCAAAGGCAGGCTAAGGCGCACACAGACAGATTGCATGCCCTGGAAGGTTGCCCCGGTCTTGATACCTTTTGGTCGCGGGCAAGCGACGTTGGAATCTGGATGGCAGGAAAATTGACTCAAAACCAGGCGATGCTTGTGCTTTGTTTGTCCTCCCCTCTATGCCACCCCGCGTCAAGTGGGAACGTGGCTGCATCTCAAATGGTGCCTCAGGGATTCAAGAGGCCAAGGAATGAAGCCACACGGCAGTTGCGACAACATCCTTGTGGGGACAGGACAAGTGCGGAAAGCACCGATGCACATGCTCGCCAAGTGCGGGAAGCACAGAAGTACACATACGCCCTTCACCCCGAAAAGGGGTGCAGCCACAGCCTTCACGAGGCCACGGTACGCGGCCGCTTTAAAGCAGAACGAAGGGCTTCATTCAGTGCCCCTATGTCACGGATGGGACGTCCGTTGAGGCACTGCTTACACCTCATGCCCGAGGTGCAAACCATTGACATGAAAACCTTGTGGTCGGCAGTAACTGAGCGACCACATACGAATTTCCACTCAGACGACCCTTTGGGAAGCATATGAACTGTGCGGGTTCTGCTGTGCTGGTACAACGTGCAGTCGCCCTCAATCTTAGGTCGGAGGGCAGCATGATGCGCCCCGGCAAGTTGAAGATTCTCATCGCCCGACGAATCGGAGTCGGAGCTGCTCTCACTGCTGTCTGAGTCTGAGGCCGAGGAGGAATCATTCTCACGCCTCTGGGCATCAGCATTCGCTTCCTCTTCCCCTGAGCAGTTTTCGCGCTGGGCCTCCTCTGTATCGTCAGGCTGGAAAACAGGCACTGGCAGTGAGGCTTCAAAGGCATCGGACACAGGGGAGCCTATGCCCCCGGGATCATCATTGTCGAAGGAAACCTTCTGGAATGAATCAGGTTCCTCAGATTCACAGGAGTCAGCAGCCGCACGCCGATACCACTCTGCTTCACTGAAAGCTCCAGGCTCGGCCTCTTTGGCAGGCTCCTCGCTGGGGTGCTCCGCGTCATGACCTAGGCCAACGAATCTCCCGGACCTGGTGCAATCTGGAAGGAAGCACTTGGACCGAATGTCGCCGAGCATGCGGTCTAAAACTCTCAATGGACCAGCCTGAAAGTCGCGACTATAAGTGGCCATGCTCTTGCGATCCTTCGAAACATGATGTCCAAGAGTTGTGCGGTCATCTGGTGGGCCTCCCCACTTGGCGAGCCAAGAGAGGACCGTAGTCTTTGCACTGTGGCCTGTGAAGGTGTCGCTCCGCAAGATGCCCCTAACCCAGCGCACCAGGTGTGATGACTTCATGGGGCGCGACT